TGACAGCACTGCTCGCTCACAATGGCAGACTCGTGATGCCCACGCTCGCTTCGCTATTCGCAACTCCCTATCGATAGACGAACGCGAGCACTTTGGCCAGCACAAGACTGCACAGGCACTGTACACAGCTGTAGTTGCTCGCTACTCCTCACTTGCCTCTGCCGCACTAGGCCATCTCTCCCTCCCCTACCTGTTTCCCGACCTCGCCTCTTTTCACACAGTCGCTGATCTCATCACACACCTCCGTACTAGTGAGGCCCGCTTCCGTGCCGCCATGCCTGCTGAGTTCCTTGCCACGCACCCCCCTCCACTATGGCTCACTCTCTACCACCTAGTCACCCGCCTCCCTAACACACTGCGTGCTGTCACGGACCACTTCCTAGCTCGCTGCCCCACTAAGCTCACCATTGCCCTCCTCCAGAAGGAGCTACTTACAGCCGAGACTAGCATTGTCGCCGTAGGTGCCTCTCGTGGCGACCCTCGTACCGCGTTCTTTGAGGGGTGTTCTCCCTCCCCCCTTCTTCCCTCTGACGCCTTTGCTGTTGCTGTTGACCTTCTTGGTGCTGAGAAGGTCGGCGCTGCATCTGCCTATAGCGGGCGCCGCAACGGCAAGGGCAAAGGGGGCAAGGGTGGTGGCGGTGACAGCGGGGGAGGCGGCGGTGGGGGCGGTGGAGGCAGTGGCTCGGCTGGAGGGGCGAGTGGTAGCGGTGGGGGTGGTGGCGGCAACGGCGGGGGAGGTGGCAGGGGCGGAGGCGGTGGTTGGGGTGGCGGTGGTCGGGGCGGCGGCAGGGGTTGGGGTGGTCGAGGAGGTGGCAGCGGTGGTGGTGGCCGTGGAGGCGCTGGCGGTGGCCAGGGCCAGCAGCACACTCCTTCGCCCCAGGAGGTCCGTGAGTGGTACGCTCAGCACGGGGGTGGGGGTGGTCTTAGCTGCACGTACGTCATTTGCATTGGTGACCGCACTGGTCAGCAGTGTGGACGACCGCACGCCACACAGCGCTGCTTCGCTCGTCTCGACCACGCTTGGCGTGTTCAGTTCCCTCAGGCCACTGAGCTGCCCCGCTGGATTGATCTCCTGAAGAAGGGGATTGATATCTATGCTTTAGACTTTGATGCTATTTTATCTGCCATGTATGTGATGTCTACTAGTGGAGAGGGTGCTGAGTACTTGTGTGTGCCGCCCGACCCGGGCATTAGGGCCAGTGCGTCTGCCGCTCCAGGTACTCGCGTGTCGGCTACCCCAGGTGCTGGTGAGGCTGCTGCTCTAGGTGCTTGTGTGTCTGCCCCCCTTGGTACTGAGTCGACTGCAGCACTAGACACCTTCACACTGGACTCAGGTGCTTCTCGCTGTTTCTTTCGTGACCGCACTGCCCTTGAGCCGCTTGCTCGGCTAGTTGCTGTCTCCCTTGCTGACCCCTCTGGGGGTCCGGTCATTGCGACCTCTTCCACTGTCCTTCCCTGTCCTGCGGTCCCGTTGGGCACATTGTCAGGTCTCCACCTCCCCTCGTTCTCTACGAACTTGGTGGCAGGATGTGCGCTCCAGGACGGGGGTGTTCACCAGTTCACCCTTGCCTACGAGCGCGTGACACACTGTACGTGTGCTCGTACGAGCCGTCACTTGGCTACCTTCACTCGGCAGCCGGGGTCGGACCTGTACACTCTGACTACTGAGTCCCCCCAGGTTGCTGCATCTGCGTCCGCGTCTGGTCAGCTGTCCACCCCCTGCTCGTGTCGCTCTCTGACACACGAGACTGTCCTCTAGCACCACCGCCTTGGCCACTCGTCTGTGTAGTGGCTTCGTGCCATGCACTCCCGGTACCTTGTCTCTGGCCTGCCCAAGGGTCCTTCCTCCCCTCCCACCCTCACCTGCTCCTACCTGTCTCCCCTGTGTTGAGGGACGGCAGCGCGCCGCTCCTCACTCCTCCTCGTTTCCCCCGACGACTGCTCCCTTGCAGACGCTCCACATGGACGTGTGGGGCCCAGCCCGCGTCCGTGGTCACGGTCAGGAGAGGTACTTCCTGATAGTTGTTGACGACTACTCGCGCTACACCTTGGTCTTCCTCTTGCGCACCAAGGGGTGCTCTTCCTCTTCCTCTTCCTGGAAACTCACTTCCACTACGACATCGTCTACAAGCCCGGGCTACATAACAAAGCAGACGTATTGAGCCGCCCCGGACATGTAGCAGGCATCCAGCTCGACGGGATGAACCCTCTCCTCAAGGGTCTATTCCAACATGGGTACTCCGTGGACGCAGAAATCGCTACAGCACAGACAAAGAAGCTGTTACAGTGGGAGAAAGACTTAGCGGTAAGGAAGGGTTCAGGAAAGATTTGGGTACCGAATTACGCCCCGCTACGACAGATCCTATTGGAGGAGTTTCACGACGTACCTTACGCGGGACATTTCGGGAGCAACAAGACGTTAGCAGGGATAGCGAAGTATTACTACTGGCCCGGGATGGCAGCAGACATGCAGCAGTTCGTCACCTCTTGCGACACGTGCCAGCGGATGAAGAGTAGCAAGCAGAAAAAAGCAGGGTTACTTCAACCTCTACCCGTACCGGAGCAGCCATGGCAGGTCGTTAGCCTCGACTTCATCACAGGACTTCCTTCGACCTCACGGGGGCACAATTCCATCCTCGTAGTCATCGATAAGTTCTCCAAAATGGGTCACTTCATACCGACCAACGCCACAGCTACAGCTGAAGCAACCGCTGGCCTCTTCTTCGACCGCATCATCACCATCCACGGCATCCCCGCTACACTCATCTCAGACAGAGACCCAAAATTCACCAGTAAGTTCTGGAAGGAGCTCATGGGATTGTTGGGGACAAAACTTGCAATGTCTTCAGCATACCACCCCCAGACTGACGGACAGACAGAGCGACTCAATCAAGTGGTTGAACAGTTACTGCGCACAGCTTGCAAGGACGACATCAGCCACTGGGACACACAGTTACCGACTCTAGAGTTCGCTTACAACAACGCATCACATGCGGCCACAGGAAAAACTCCTTTCTTCCTTTGTTACGAACGGGAACCACTCACACCATAGCAGCCAACCACACCGGCACACGTCCAAGCCGCACATGACTTCGTCACCACCATGCAGCAGCTATGGGAGAAGACTCAGCGACGACTCACCACGATGCAGACCTCCCAGAAGTAGTATGCCGATCGTCAGCGACGTGATCACTCAGTAGCAGTCAGAGATGAGGTGCTTCTTGACACGCGCAACTTGAACCTGTCTCACCTCCCATCCAAACTCCGGCCTCGCTTCTGTGGTCCTTTTCTCGTTGAGGCATAGGTGACACCAGTTACATTCCGCTTGCACTTACCTACTACTTGGAAGCTTCACAATGCTTTCCATGTGCAGCTACTGAAACCCTACCAGGACCCCAACAACCAGTTCCAGGGACGGCAGCTACCGCCACCTCCACCTGTTCTTGTACAGGATGAACCCGAGTACGAAGTGGTGCGCGTTCTCACTCATCGGCGCGGCGGCGGCAAGACCCTCGAGTTCCTGATACGCTGGATGGGAAAAGACCCCATTGAGGACAGTTGGGTTGCACAAGCTGATATGGGCAACGCACGCCGTGCTCTCAAGGACTATCTTGTCAAGCAGAGTGTATCTCACGCCACCCAGCTTTGAGGGGGGGACGTGTGAGAGTACGACGGCTTATGCCAGCTATGCTTGCTTGCCTCTATTATGCTATTTCTAGCATAGGATAATCATATGCATGCATGAATTGCTTGATTTCCTAGGCTAGGTGCTTTCCTATATTTTATTATAGTTATAGCACCGAGCTAGGTTGCGTGCACCGAATTCTGGCCTTTTCGGTTGCCACCAAATTGCCTTCTACCGAACTCGGTAAGGGTCTGTTCGGGATGCTACGCGACCCGCGGAACCTTCGCGTAACACCTGGTTACGGGGCTTTGTGTCGAGCCTATATATAGCCTCGTGTTGTACCCAGGTGATCATTCAATTCCATTCAATTCAATTACATTCTCTTTTCTGAGCTCGATCCTAGATCCTCACACCGGCGGTGCGACATTCCACTCGCCCTAACGTCCACCCGGCATTCGCCAACACGATTCTCGAAGGCGTGCATGCAGACGTTGCACCGCATAAGCTGGATCCCAATGTACACGCCAATACTGAACGACGTTGGGACATCTCAACGATGACCGTCAAGGAGGCGCTGGCAAGCTGGAAGGGCAAGGCATTGAAAATGGCAATGGACGAGATACAGAGTCTATAAAGATTATGGGCCTAAATTTCTCCAAATCGTTGGTCTCAATTTCTGGACAGAAAAGTCGAGTTCACAAGAAACGTCGTCAATGAAACTCAGATATGATGTAGCTCTACCCCGTGGCTACAATTCCCAAGTTGAATCATACAAAAAGGTGATATATTTTTTTAGTTATCAATTTCGGTGCACTAGGGGGTATGCTGTCAATAGAATCTTAACTCAATCACAAGAGTCTCACACAAGTTCACACAAGAGAATTAGAGTAGCACTAAACCAGGTGGAAGGAATGATGAGGATGAGAGGGAAGGTCCCAAGAGAGTCCCCAACCAAGGAAACCCCATGCCACACAATTCCCCTCTCCATAGGCAACCCAACTTTGAGCTTTGTCACTATCCCAACCTCCACAATCCACCTCAACCCAACTTGGCCACACTTACCAACCTGGTTTGGTTTCACCCAACCATTTGGCAGCAACTACAGTAGAAAAGGCGAATTTCCCAACCCCCAAAAGTCTGTACCCCATATTGAGTCAACCCCACAACTTCCCATAGTCACCACAACCAAATATCAAAAGCATTCGAATTTTAGCACGGCATGGCATGGTGTGGCATGACATGGCACGGCATGGCATCGGGTTGCATGACATGTGGCACGGCAGGATTCACGCTGGGCAGGGAGAGGCGGGTGGCGGAGGTGGAGGTGGATGCAGCGGGGCAGCACCGAGTGAAGACTGGTGTTGAGGAATACTCGATGCTCAAGACCACTCAGGTGAGGAAGGTAGTGGGAGTTGAGAGAACACTGAGGGGAATGTAGGGGATGATATAGTGCAGTTGTCATGGATGGGGAGGGCAGTGAGGATTACGGGCGGTGAGGAGAGGGTGAGGGTTGAGTTGCGATCAGTGAGGGGGGAATCAGAGGGTTGTTGTGCCGTTATGGTCGTGGATGGTGAAGGGAGCGGGACAACACAGTGTGGGGTGGGCGTGGAGGAGTAGTCTGTGCTTGAGAGTCAAGACGAGACCAGTGAAGGGAGTGGGAGGGTTGACACTCACCTGATTGTGGATGGTGAGGGCATCGGCATTGCATTGTTTCCGTAGATTTTGAGACACGCTTCCGTCACCGTGTCAATCCGTCTTTGAGGGTGTCACCTTTTCATCGACCTCCCCTTCACCTCCCTCCCATTCTTCCTTCTCAGCACCCCCCGCTCTTTCACTTCACACCCCGCTTCACCCTGTCACCTTCCACTCCACCCTCACATTCCTCCCCCAATCCGGCATGGCTCGCAATTGGAAGATCTCGTTTACCGCACCAGCGAGCCCATTCTGACTGATTTGGGTGCTGCCCTTTCCCCACTGCTCTCCTTTCTCCCTTCTCTTCGTTCTCTCTACTTTCCATCCTCTCTACTCCCCTTACTCTCTGCTCTCCTCTTTTCCCACTCTCCTTTCTCCCTGCTCCTCGTTCTCCCGGCTCCCCTTTTGTCTCTGCCCTCCTCTCTCCGATTTTTTCTCTGCTCCTCTTTCCCTTGGCTCCCCTGCATCCCCCTCTCACTCTGGCTTTGAGGGCTTCATGCGCAACCAGAGCACGCTGCTGCCACACCCAAGGAGCCACAGCCACATCAATTTCTCTGCTGTCCTTTGCCCACTGCTCTCTGCTCTCTCCTTTCTTCTCTCTGCTTCCCTTCCCCCCTCAAATCCCCCAGTCCGGCTTTGAGGGCTTCATACGCGATCAGAACACGCTGCTGCCAGACACAAGGGAGCGCATCCTCGCCACCACAGTGCAGGCCACGTGGAGGTGAGCAGTGAGTACCACGTGGAGGTGAGCAGTGATGCCACGTGGAGGTGAGCAGTGATGCCACGTGGAGGTGAGCAGTGATGCCATGTGGAGGTGTTGATGCCACGTGGAGGTGAGCAGGGATGCCACGTGGAGGTGAGCAGTGATGCCACGTGGAGATGAGCAGTGAGTTCTGCATGGTGGTGAGGATATCCCTTCTCCACACCTCGCACCGTCTGTGCCGCCGTGTATCTCTGACAACCCCTATTTCTGTCACCCTCCGCATGCGTCTTGCTGTGTGTCATATGTCTGTGTGCCACACGATGAAGTTTCTCCCTCGCCTGCGTGTATGTTACCCACCACCTCCGGGTTCCCATCTCTTCCACACGCGCATTCATGTCCCACACAACATCTTCTGTCCTGAACTGTTCCGTTCCTCGTCCTACACCCCCTCTAGCTACGCTCGCAATCCCTCCAATACAATGCTTCCTTCCCAGTGGTCGTGGTGGCCCTCCTTGATCAGACTCTCGCCTTCACCGCTCTCAGCACGCATCCAGCCATCACCTTCACGCCTTTCAAGTCTCAACAGCTAAATAACCCTCCCTGCGCCTCTCGCCTGTTCCCATCCCCCACCCCCAGCTACTCGGGTGATCCTCCGTGCTTCCCTGCAGCCTACTCACCGGCCAAAGCAGCCTTTACAGACTTTCACCCTGACCTGCTCTCTCCTCAACCAACCCTTCTGGTATTCCCACAACTGTTCCCGTCCCTCCAGCTACTCGCGCGACCCCCCGTGCTTCAACGCGGCCTACTCAGCGGCCAAGGCAGCCCTGACAGACACTTTCTTTGGGCCGCCCCAAGGGGGAGTCTACAGCCCTTCAGTGCAGCGCACACTCTTCCTCATGGGCGAAGAGGTGCTGTCAAGGTGAGAGGATGGGGAGGAGGGGGTGTGTGACACTCGTTTGGGCTTGACTTTGGGCATGTCTCTCTGCAGCTCATCTTATTTGTGCCTATCCCTCTGTAACGCACCTTGCATTTACCTCTCTCACTGCATGCAACCGTCAGAGTTCCTCCTTTTCTATAATGAGGCAGATAGCATGCCTCTTTCTCTATAGTGCATCGCTTGTGCCCGCCCCTTCTCTACATAACAGAGCTACATGTTCCTCTCTCTACAACACACCTTGGTTAATACATGTATCTGTCTCTTATCTATACCTCTCCCCCCGCATCACATCTCTCATGCAATTCTCTCACTGCACTCATACACCCATCAGAGTGCCAGAAGCAGACAGCGTGCATCTGAAGCTGCCCAATCTGCACTTCATCCCCGTCAACCTGCCAGGCATTGGTCTGAAGGTATGTTGCTGCTGCCCCGCCCCCACCCTCTCACTGCCCTCTCACTCCCCTCTCACTGCCTTCTCAATCCTCCCTGTTCCCCACCCTCTGCACGCTTCCCCCGCTCTCATCAGCGTGAGAACGCCATGTATTCACCCACCAGCGAGCCTCCTGACAGCATCGAGGCTTGTGTATGACCCCTACACACTCGCCCCCACTTGCTTCAACCACTCCTCCCTGCACCCCCTCACCCTAACCCCTCTCACATCAGTGTGAGGATGACGTGTATCTGCCCACCAGCGAGCCCCACGGCAGCATTGAGCCGTGTGTCTCCCGCAAGACAGCAGCACTTACAGCAAGGCTTTAAGTCACAAGTGCCTGCAGCAAGGCTTTAAGGCAGCAGTGCGTGCAGCAAAGCTTTGAGGGAGGAGCGCGTGTAGCAAGGCTTTGAGGCAGCACTGCCCACACATGGGTCCGAGACGCACATGACCCACATCACACGACGAGATACGGTACAAGCTGCACACATCTCGCTATCCCTTCTTCCACACGCACCCCCCTAGCCAATAGCCCATAGCCCATGGGTTGTTGCAATGCAGTGTGTGCAAGGTGCCAGGCTGTCGGTGTAGGCAGCATGCGCTGGTGGGCTACTGTATCGCGTATGATTGAACACTTCTAATGGCATGACATGCCCGTTTCCTACACATAAGTACTTTGCACATGTATTAACGATACATGCACATGTTCATTTGGACCAGCGCGTACCGTAAATAGGTAGGTCGTGTTGGTCCAATATATGGATATATGACATTGTGTTACAACACTTGGGTACTACCGTATCAAGGAGCATGATGTTACCTTGCTTAAGACAATTGTTTAACAATGGTCAATCAATCCAACACCATGCTGTCACTCTGGTCAGACCATGCAGGGATGATCAAGTTCCAGCGTTTTTTTCAGCTGCCCAACCCAAGTGACTCTACTAGCAGCAGAAATACCTACAAGAACTAGACGTTTTCCAGCTGCTTAAGGGTTTTTGTCAGGTTAAGTAGGCCGTGCATAGAGGAGAGGGTGAGGGAAGAGAGGGCAGGGAGCGTGGAGAAGGAATCAGGGAGAGGCGAACTGCGAGCAGCTAGACAGAGATAGGCTGGTGAGAGACGCCAGGCCCCAGGCTGCTGTGCGGTGCCCTGCTCCTTGCTGTGCCTGTGCCTGTAGCTATGGCTGTGGCCTGTTGGCCGTATTGGATTGAGTGCAAGAAGTGGTGGGGCCAGCAGTAGTGGCTGTAGGAGCGACAGTGGCAGAAGCAGGAGCAGGGTTAGGAGGAGGACGAGGCGCAAGGGCAGCAGCAATGGAAAGAGCAGAAGTAAGGGAGCATGACAGAGGAAATGAGGGATCCGGAGCACTCAATGGCTCTAGGGACTCGAGGCGAGGGCAGGAGGTGATTTGGATCTCTTCCAGGCGCGTCAGCATGGCCAGCTGGGGGGGCAGCTGCCTTAGTTCACTTCAGCCCTGCAGGTAAAGCCGCTCCAGGCTGTGCCTCACACTCCCCGTGCACAGGCTTTCAAGCAGCTGCAGCATTCCCACTCGCTCGATTGTCAACGACCTCAATCGATGTAATCTTGGGCAGACAGCAGAGGCTGGGCAGATCGAAGAGCTTTAGTTTTTCAAGCTGCACGAGGGCTCCAAGGTTATCAGGAAGGGAGGTGAGTGCAGGGCATGAGAAGATGACGACAATGGAGAGGGGGAGGGAGCAGATGGTGTCTGGCAGGCCCTGGAGGGACATGCAGCGAAGTAAAACCCCCTCCAATCACACCATCGCCCCCATCACATGCGCAGACAAGTGCGTCAAACGATGGGACAGCAGCGAGAAGTAACGAAGGTTTGTGAGACGCCGGAAGAAATTGGGGATCGACTCCAACATTTCCATTTCCATTTCTATTTCTTCCAATCGCGTTAAGTAACCAATCGAATTAGGGAGGTGAGCGAGAGAGGGGTTGGTAATCCTCAAGCTTCCGATGGAATCCGGGAGACCTTTGAACGGCGGTCCTGATCCCAGGATGTGGAGTTCCTGCAGCTGCTGAAGCGCGCCGATGCTTTCAGGCGGCAGAATGAGATGCGCGAATTGATCCACGCCTTTATCAGCGGAGCGGTAGAGCTGGAGGCTTCTCAGGTTTGAGAGGAGAGCGATGGCGGGCGGGAGATGCGGGAAGGAGTGGAGGGTGAACAGGCAGAGTTCGCGGAGCTTGCGACAGCCATGGAAGAGAGATGTGAGGCCATTGCAAGTGACGTGCATGCGAAACTGGTAGTGCACGGTCAGATGCGTCAAATGCGGACACGAGGCGCCAAGGCATTGGAAGAGAGCATCGCCTTTCGCATCCTGAACGCAACATTCCTGAAGCTCGAGGTGCGTGAGCGAGGAAAAGCGGCGAATCGTGTTCAAGAGAGCGGAAAATTTGATATTGGATTTGATAACAAGCTGCGTGAGCGAGAAGCGCGCTACGTCGCACCATCGCTTGGAGACAAGCGCGTAACGGAAAGAGTCGCGCGTTAACGAGCGCAGCACGAGCGAGAGAAGGTAATCGTCGGATGGTACCTTCGTGATCATCGACGGAGGGGCGCGGAACGCAGGGAAGAGGGAGGACAGCAGTACTGACATGGTACGAATCGTGGTAATGACCTTACAGTAGAATAAACTTGAGTGAAAAGGTGCAGCTTGCGTACTACTAGTCCCATCCTTTACAATCAAACGCAAGCGGGAACAACGAGGTGGTGCTTGGCTCGCAACCTGGGCGCCGTGGCCTTTCTTGGTCTGACCCGGCGTGTTTAGTAGGGCAATGGCGTCTCAGGCACGGGACGGGAAACTTGGGTCCGAAAAGATTGGCAATTTGGCATCTGAGGAAACTGCCGATGAGTTGACATGTCCGCCGCGAAGCGAAAAATGTGCGCCGCGAAGCAATCGAAATCGAATTCGCAATGTCCCAAATTGAATTCGCAATGTACCAAATTCTGCATGTTGCCCGATGTGAAGTAGGCGGGCGAACACGTGGCGTCACCGCAACGGGTCGCGAAGTTGTCGAGTGTCCCGAGGGGCCCCCGACTTTTTGCCTGGCTCTCGCCTGCCCGTCCGGGCAGGCCGCGATGGGTTACTAGGACCTCGCGGGCAGGTGGCACGTGTGGGCTGCCTTCGCGCGAGGGTAATTTTCCCACGCGCGAGCTGTCGCCAGTTCGCCGACCCCACCCGGTAACGTGGGCCGATGTTCACATTCGGAGCGGGGCTGCGGGGCGGCGGTCGTGTGCTCGGCCCAGCCCTGGGCCAGGCTGGCGGGCCCGCACGCGCGTCAGTGCTCCGCCCCGTCAGCCCAGGCTTTGACGACCCCCCTCGACGACACTGGCAAATCCATCCTGACGACCTTGTTCGGCTGAGGTATTCGGAGTGTGTTCGCTGTTATGCAAAGAGGGTCCACGTTTGTCCTTTAGAGGGTTCAGACAAGGACTCGGTATCACTCTTCATCTTGGAGGATCGCGTGTATATATGTAGTATATATACAAATATATAACCACAATCTCTTCACGGGATCAATCGGCGAAACTAGGCGCGACCGTCAATTTTACAATTGGCAAACAAATTGAGCAGTTGTTACAGTTGCAGAAATTTCGTTGGCGCGTGTATTCGCCTAATGTGTATTTTTTTTTTTTTTTTTTTTTTTAATTTCGTAAAAGCACAACCACAATCACAATCTACACTGCAACCAGCCTCGCAAATCGATGAAGTTGTGGTTGGAACCGCGAATTCTCGTCGTACAAAAGTCAATCGTCCGTATTCTCTGTTGATATAACTGGGAATCGAAGTAGATAGGATAAGTCTAGTCAAGTGGTGCAAAGACAATGAAGTCTTGTAGTGACATTGTGAATAATGGTTGAAAGTGAACAAGATGTTTAGAGATGAGAGTACAAGGATATAATAACAATCCTAGCTAGCCATGTACTCTGAGGGGTACATTCCCTTATAAACTGTATCGCATTGCTACAATAACAGGGATAATTGCTCTACTCGACAGCTAATCATCGTGTAACCTCCGAGTACGGTTACTAGGCGGTCAACAGCCGCGAACTCTGACCTGCGAGTGGCTTTCGGGCTGCTGCGCGCTCTATAAGAGCTTAATGCAATACTCGTACAGGGGCGCTGCCTCGTTATGAAGCGACGCGCTAAGGGAAGCCTTCGGAATGTTATAGTAACCATTGGTTATTCTAACGCTCCCCTTCATTCCTGAAGGTGAGCCACGTGGGATTTCTTCGAGATCCCCCAAAGGTCGGCGCAGTGGTGGAACTTCTGACGTGGCAGCTTCTTCATCAGGAAATTTGCTGTCATGTCACCAGTTGGGCAATACGTGAGTTGTCAGAACATTATATAGCTTATGCTGTTGTGTAGGCTATAGTGGGGTATCCCATAGGGGGTACAACCCAATTAGGGTTTGCTATTTGTACCCTCTTCACTCATCGTTCATCCATTCTCGTTCTTTCTTTTCACATGGAATCAGAGCAGGTTCCCTCATAGGGACTGCTTCTAGGGCCCACCGAAGCGCGCCCCGAGGCGCGCGATTTTTTTTTTAGCGACCCTCCGTGTCGCCCTTCCCCTCGCGGCCCCGCTGCCCTTCTCGCGGCCCCGCCACCCTTCAAACGCGGCCCCGCCGCCCTGGATAGCGGCCCCGCCGCCCTTTCTAGCGGCCCCGCCACCCCTTCGAGCGGCCCCGCCACTCTGTCGCGGCCCCGCCGCCCTGTCGCGGCCCCGCCGCCTCTTCCTCGCGGCCCCGCCGCCCTATCGCGGCCCCGCCGCCTCTTCCTCGCGGCCCCGCCGCCTCTTCCTCGCGGCCCCGCCGCCCCGTCGAGGCCCCACCACTCCGTCGCGGCCCCGCCGCCGCGTCGCGGCCCCGCCACCCAGTTGCGGCCCCGCCGCCTCTTCCTCGCGGCCCTGCCGCTCCGTCGCGGCTCCGCCACTCCGTCGCGGCCCCGCCGCTCTCTCGCGGCCTCGCCGCCCCTTCGCGGCCCCGCCGCCCCTTCGCGGCCCCGCCGCCTCTTCCTCGCGGCTCCGCCGCCCCGTCGCGGCCCCGCCACTCCGTCGCGGCCCTGCCGCCCCTTCGCGGCCCCGCCGCCCCTTCGCGGCCCCGCCGCCTCTTCCTTGCGGCCCTGCCGCCCCGTCGCGGCCCCGCCACTCCATCGCGGCCCGTCGCCCTACCCGTCGCGGCCCCGCCTCTCCCCCCCCCCCCCCCCCCCCTCCCCCTTTTCCCGTCTCCTGTCGAGGCGACGGGAGAGGCCAGCTGAGGGGTGGCAGGTGTGTGGTCTCCCCTACTTCTCCTCCTCCTTCGTCTC